ACATTGGAGCCTGCACCAATGGGCCGCGTCGCAGGGATCATCGCAAACGGCCGTCAATAAAGCCGACAATGCTTTAGATACCTTGTCTCTGCATGGTTTGGGAACGTGATCATACAGATGGGCAGTCCTCAAAACGACCGTCAGCCTGTCAAAAACATGAAAAAAATCCACTTGAGAGGGACTCTCCGAGACCGACGCCGAAGAACCGCGTGTAGCAACATGAGGGTTGATGACAGGTGCAGCGGTAAGCGGCGGTCGCGCGGAAGCAGATGAACCAGCCGGAGGCTGGTCGGCTGCCTTGAACGAACCAGGGCATTCCTGGCCCTTCACTTTGCCTCCATGTCGATATAGTTTACCGTCCGGTTTTATTTTATAATGATTTAAACAAACCGTGCATTGGTATAGGACCGGTGCCATTACGTCAACGAAATAAAAACAAAAGCGAGTAGATAAAACCGTGTGAACAGTGATAAAATAAAAAAAATAAAATTGTGGTGAAAATAAAAAGGTTTAATTTTAAATTTTAATAAATTTAAAAATTAAAAGAAAAACTGGGAATGAAATAGAGAAAACAAAAATAAATATTAATGAGCATTGTACGGTGCAGCTGTAAAAGCCCACAGCTGTTGTTAAAGTATGTTAAAGCTAAAATTAAAAATTTGAGACCACAAAAGTTAAAAAACCAACCGAACGGCGGGAACCTAATCCGAAAAAGGGCAAAAAAGCGACAACCAATAAAAACCACACCAAAAAAACCGAAATTATTGCAACAAAAACCTTAAAAACCAGAAATATTACTAAAAATTAGCGAAATACTAAAAATGTGAAAGCCGACACCAGCTGAGCGAACGTGTATGTATGTATGTATGTATGTATGTATGTATGTATGTATGTATGTATGTATATATGTATATATATATATATATATATATATATATATATATATAATTATATATACAGATTTGGTTTATATTTTTTTTAAACAAGGTTTTTTAGCAAAGTTTATTAGTTGGTGTGCATATATACACTGGCGGCGACTTGTACGGGCTTTAATTCTTCGAGCTCAAGCCTATCTTGAGCCCACTCAATATTTGAATTTAAATATTAAAATAAAGTTCTTTATCTGTTCAAAATATCGCTATGCGCTCTCATGACGATGATGATTCGAATTGTTTTTTTACATCTGCGTGCCGAAGATAGTCTTGAATTACAGCAATGGCCGAACAAACATCATATCAATGGACTTCAAAAGATATTCAAAATGAATTGTTAGAAATTATGTCGCACAGCGTCTCAGATCGT